TTCTCTAAGTGCTCTTTCTACTCATAAGGAGAAAGTTTGCTGTGAAACAGTGGGCCGTGTTTCGCCAGCAGCAGCCTCACACATCTGGCGTTTACCACATCTCTTGATTTCATTATGTTCTCTTGTGCCTGATTTAATCTCCTGTTGTTTTATAAATCTAGTGTAGCCTAAGTGTGGAGTGTTTGTAAAGTCCACAGCAGTGCAGAGGAACGGCCTCGGCCTTCACGCTCGCCGCTCGCTCCCTGACTCACCCAGAGCAGCTTCCAGCCCTGCAGGCTCCACCCAGGGCACGCACCCCACACAGGTGCAACTCTGTTTATCTTTTATTGTTACTGTGCCTTTTCTATGTTTCAATATGTTTAGCTACACAAACACTGAACACTGTTACCGTTGCCTACGGTACCGAGTACAGCAACCCGCTGCACAGGTTTGTGGCCATGGAGCCCGGGCGTGCAGGAGGCTGTACCCTCAGGCGTGTGCAGTGCACTCTGCGATGTCCACGCAACGACCGAGTCGCTTAACGACGCATTTCTTAGAACACATCCCCACCATTAAGCCACACAGCAGTGTGACAGGGAAGAAAGCTGATGTTTGCCGAGGGTCTCCCAGGGGCCAGGCACCGCCCCAGACACCGGACACATGTCACCGCCTAGGACTCCTACAATAAGCTTAAAAAATGAAGTATTTGTCCTCTTGCAAATGTGGAAACGGAGACTCAAAGACCGCATACCTCTCTCTATCCGTGTGTCTAGTGCATGGTGAGGCCGGGCCTGTTTGGTCCAAAGCGCTCTTCTCTACAATCACGTGATTGTACAGTTAGTGGCAGTCGGTCACATACTCCCTTCTCTCCGAGACATGAACTCAGGGGACTTCCAGGCTGGGTGACTCTCGTGGCGGGAACCCAGGCCTCACACAGGAACTGTTTCCGCCAGTCGGTTCTGTCTTCCCTGCTGTGTGGGTGGGAAACATAAAAGGAAAGGAAAGCTCAGTTTCTGCCCGGGGGAAACGGCACCTCGCCCAGGCGGGCGGGGCTCTCAGAGGCTGGCCCTCCACCGCGGGGTGCGCTGGGGTGCGCTGGGGGGCCGCAGGAGGCCGCTGCCTGGCATGAACACAGCTGTGGTCCTGAGCGGGTGCTGCTGTGACGCCCCGATGCAGCCCAGGGGACATCAGCAGGACCAGGCTGCCGACAGAGCTGCGGCGCGGCCTCGCCGATCGACCGTCCCTGAGGCTGGGCACGCTCGGTCTCTCCTCCCTTTTCATGTTTCTCACCTGAGCTTGTGGGGAGGTCTGAAGAGGCACCAAAGAGAGGCGACGGGTGTTGCGTAGGCAGGACAGCTGGACTGGGCGACTCGGTTGAGGGGGAGCGGGAAGTGTGGGAGGCTCAATGATTGTCCATCTCCGTAAGAAGCAGGCGGGGCCCCTGAGTTGGGAGCACAGGGCACAGAGGCTGGGGATTAGGCCGCTGACTTGGATGGGGGGGGCACGCACACCCCAGAACCTCCCTGGGCTCAGGACCCTCAGCTGAAATGTGGAGAGGAGACCAGATCCCTTCTTGACTTTCTTTCTGCTTTAAAATCTAGCAATTCAAGACATCTAGCAATTCAAGACACTTTGTTGGGTGTGGACGGCTACAACGTTAACACGACCTGATACTGGCCACTCAGACAGAGGGAGGCGGGTGTCAGCACCCGGGGTATGTCACCAGCCGGGGATCGGAATTTAGGAATCGGCCCCAGAGCCAGACCCCTGAGGATGGGGTCTCCCTCCCCTGCTCCCCACTGGCTTCCCTTTAGCCTATTTCCCAGGAGTGCTAGTTTGGGTAAGAAAAAGAGTCGTGGCGACAGAGCAAGAGGCAGCCTCCAGCCGGCCGTGAGGATGGCGAGGGAGAAACTGGAAGTCATCGGCCGGATTCTCCCCGGAGCCTCACACAGGAAAGCTGGGGCCCGCACCCACCCTCCGTCCCAGGAGCGTTTGCCTAAGTGGGAGGCCCTCTTAGAATGAAACATAAATCCACTGAAAAGCAGCACACGTTCAAGTCAGAAACACGAGAGCAGCAGCAAGGACAGAAGGACAGTCTTTATCCCACCAGACAGGGCCGACGCCCTGGGGGACATCCTTCCAAAAGTCACACGCCCAACACCCTTGTTGGAAAAACAAAAGTGGGTCTATATTGTGATCTTTCTCCCCCGTTTTCAGTTTGTCGTATCATGATTTGCTTAACCAATGTCCTCCTCTTGTACATGTAAATACGTAGGCAGGCCTTCCATACTCAAAGAGATGGAAACTGTCTTTATATATATTTTAATACTATTATAAGTTTTTTGAGGTCTAAAAATCCAATCCAATCACAGTGTGTTTTCTGTGCGTGATGTCAGGCGGGGATTTGTCACACTCATGAGGCCACTATTCTACCCAGCCTTCCTTTGACCCACCGGCTGAGATCCATTGCTCAACTTCATTTCATTTCCTGGGCAACCGTTTGGAGATAATATCTATATTTGTACCTAAAGTGGAAACAGAAAGCAAGCTCAATTTTTAAGATTTTTTTTCCCCCCCACGCTCTCCTAAAGAATCATAAAGCTGGAAATTTACTTTGGGGGCCGGTCTTCAGGTAGGTATCCCTTCTTTCTGGGCTCAGGCCTCTCTGCGCGCCTGTGAACGCTTCCATCCCTTGCCTCTCGCCCTGTATCTCCGGCCTCCTCCCTGTTTCTCTTTCCAACTCCTCCCTCCCGTCTCTTTCTCTCCTTCTCTGGTCCTTTCTTTAACCCATCAATAGTGTTAACCATCTTAAATGTGTGGGTTTTTTTTTTAATGATTTCTCCTGTTTGTTTAATAGCATTTCATAGTCTCTATGCATTTTTATTTGTTTCGGGACACACTTTTATTTACCCAGCTGAGGATTTTCAATAGAGTGACAAAAACATAAGATTTGGGTATCTCACGCATTTATAGCTAAGACTCCATGTATATTTGTTTCTTTTTTTTATCATCACAAAACAATCTTAGAACCTCAAAAAATGCCTTTTGAGAAAGAGGGAGGAAAAATCCACTTTTATCGTTATTTCCTATGGATTCATTTTCTAATACTTATAATCACAGGATAAAGAGCTGTATTCTATCAGCTTTGACTACGTACCTACGTTTCTATGTGGTCTGGTCGGAGACATTATAGCAGAATAGAGATGATTTGGCTCCTTGCTAACTAAGGGGTGATCCCGGGTGATTTTACTCAGCCTCTCAGTTTCTGTCCCTCCGATGGGTTAATAAAACCCACCCAAGGTGGTTGTGGGGATTAAAATGTGAGAAGAAAACACACACTCCTAAGTGTGCCCATGCTGGCGAAGGAGCACTGCGGCCGGGCTGGCGTGTGTGTGTGTGTGTGTGCGTGTGTGTGTGTACCAACCGCTCTGGGTGCTACTGTAAAAGGAACACAAAGGAGAGACACGTGGTTACGCTCTTGGGGGTGGGTCCCACCAGCCCTACTTCAGTTCCTTTTCACAAAAGCTCAGAATCACAATAAGGAAACCAACCCCGAAGATGAACATCGCATGTAAAACCTTAGTAGCCAGTTTCCTTTTGATGTTCACCCTGTCTGCCAAAGGTAAGCCGGTGCGTGGGTCTCCGCCATCACGGTTCGAAGTGGCTTTGGGGACTCTGGAGCGAGCGCAGAGTCGGAGGGCCTGCGGCCCCACTTTCCCTGGCAGGAGCCTCGAGGCCTCAGTAACTGTCTCGCTTTCTGTAGGTGCAGCTGCTACAACCAAGGAGGTCCACGGTACCCTGCATCTTGATATCAACCTGGACGTTCCTACTGTTTCCGTGAAGGGTAAAATTGATGACATACAATGGAAAAAGGGAGATGACAGGATTATACGATTCACAGAAAGCAAGATAACTCACCAGACAAAGGCAACGTACCAAGTGTTTGAAAATGCAACTCTGAAAATTAAACGTCTGCAGATGAATGACAGTGGATACTACACGGTGTTCTTATACGATGTGAATGGGAAACAAATCCTGAGCAACACATTTAATTTGAAAGTTCTAGGTGAGTCTTTTTGTTTCCTGAACTCCTCCATCTCAATACGGGTGCTATTTAGCAAGTTGGGGAAAGGCATTTATAAAGTGTCCCCGGCCCTGACTGCAGCCTTGGGCGAGCCCGAGGGAAAACTAATGCGGCCCTCCCGCCTCAGTGGAGGCTCCTGTCCCGGGGGAGGTGAGTCCGCCCGTGGAAATGCTTCTGCCTGAAGCTGTCTGTCTCTTCCCTCGTTATGGGGATGCGGGGCTGAGTGAAGAACCGGGCTAAGGTGGCACTGACCAGGAAGAGGGAACACGTGGTGCCGATGAAAAGGGTCACCATTCCGGGTGGAAGGTGAAGGGGCTGGTGAGGTGTGGAGCAGGGAAGCTGGGGCTCAGCGCAGAGCAGTGGGTCTTCCAACTACATGGAGGGCCAGGGAACCTTTTTTTTCTGCCAAGGGCCATCTGGATATTTATAACATCATTCGAGAGCCATACAAAAATTATCAACTTAAAAATTAGCTATGCAAAAAGCTCCTAGATTTATTGAATTTAGAGTCCCACCTGCGGTTGCCTGGGCAAGGCCAGACCAAATGATTTCAGGGGCCGTGTATCGCCCTCGGGCCAGATGTTCCCAACCCCTGAACTAGCGAGACAATTTCAAGCCAGGATGCCCTGAAGAAGTAGTTGTCTGGCAGGAAAGGGCTGGAAATGATGACTTTAAGGAAGAAGGGCCCTTGTTTCTGATCCACTCCACTTCGAGTGGTCCAAGTGGTTTTTGCTGACCTCCGCAGAGAACACACAGGCCTGGCTCTGCACGTCTGCGTGTGGGCCAGGAGGGCAGAGTGCACACTGAGAATGGTGGCAAGAAGGCTCGCCAGGAAGCTGCTGCTGTGCCCAAGTGAAGAAGAGAGGGGCTGGTTTGTGATTCTTAACCCTGGTTACATGTTAGAATCAACTGAGATGCTATTAAAAGGTACCGGTGCCCAGGTTTCATCCAGATCAATTAAGTCAGGATAGACCTGGGCACCAGGAGGGTCTAATGGTCGCCAGGTGATTCCAATCGGCAGGAAAGGCCGATGCCCTCTGGCCTAGACTAACAACATTTTACAGGGTGCCTGTAAGATGCAGAACAGGGAGTCATGTGGAGAGGGCATGGGCAGGGTGGCATAGGTGTGGCACAGAGAGAACAGAAAGTGGAATTGAAATGACATTACAGTTAAAAGCCCAGGAGCCGCCTTGAAATGGGGGTGATAAGAAGCGAGAAGAGGAAGCACTTGGCCTGGAGAGGAAGACAGGAACTCCAGCGTGAGCTCAAGTCAACAATTTAGTGAGCAGATAAACATTTCTGCGCTTCACACAGGAAATGTCACGAGGGGCAGGGCCCCCTCCTTCTACCTAGGGTCAGCCTCCGGCCCTGGTCTCAGTCCGTGGACCTGGCAGCCACCCCTCTCCGACAACCCCAGGCAGTGTCAGCTCCCTGCGGATGACAACTTTCCACACCCTAGTCCCCAACCTTGAACGGCGAGTGCATTCCAGACACGGGGCGGGATGGACAACGGAGCCAGAAGGGGCCCCTGCTTATGGGCTCTGGGAGCCCCAGATCTCGAGACGCTTGCGAGCATGGCTCAGGTGTCCTGCTTTGAACACGAGCCTCCTGCGCCCGCCTTTTAGTATCGTAGCGATAGCAGTGCCTGCCTGCTGGGTGTCGGGAGCCTTGCTTCCATGATCTTATTTAAGGTTCCCAATAAGGAAACAGAAGCGACTTGTCCAAAGTCTCCCAGTTTGACTGCCGCAAAGTCAAGATCCAAACCCAGGGCTTTCTTTGAGCAAGAATGGTGACATTTTTTCTTTTCAAAAATCTTCATCGAGACACAATCCACATAACCGTAAAATTCACCCATTTAAAGTATATAATTCAGTGGTATTTAGTACACTCAGAGTTATGCAACCAACACCACAATCAATTTTAGAACGTTTTTAGTACCTCAAAATAGACCTCCACTCCTGGGCCCGAGGACAGAAATCTTTCCATGACACAACAGCTACCTCGCGCTGTGTGTGTGTGTGTGTGTGTGAGCGCTCACGCTGCACACGGCATCTTAACTCAGTTTGTGATCTGCCACCGTTACTTGCAACATGGCCTTGAGTTAATTCTCTGTCTGCCCTGAGTCTGATTTTCATGATAATAGCTGCATGGGGTGTTCGGGGAGACACGGCTTCAATGAGACAAGCAGCACAGGTGCCCTCTGGGCCTGTTTGCTGAATGCCCTCCCCCATCTCGCTGCTTCCTCATGCTTCTCCTGGCTACAGTCTTGGCACCCAAATCCCCTTCATGAGGAGGTCGCTGCCGCTGGCTGAAGAGGCAGCCCTTTAAAAACAGATGTTCATGGAAGAGTTAATCTTTGCGGCCTAGAATTAAGGAGCTCCGGTCTATGAGATGAGCCCCCGTTGATCCGGAGGCTGCCAACGGAGCGAATAGGTCCAAGGGCATGACTCTGAGAAAGTGCTCACCACTGTGTGGTTTATATCAGTGAAACACTGGGAAGGGTTGAAAAGTCCCCCACTATTAGAAAGTTATTAATTAAATGAAGGATACATCATTTAAAAAAGACGGTGGTGATATAGGCGATATTCTTAAGGGAAAGAATTTTACGAGAGGCCAGTAAAGGAACAAGGGCAGACTAAAAAATCACACGATGCAGTTTCAGTTCTTAAAACATTATTTACGGTGTATGTAATGCACAGAAAACATCTGTTAAAGATCTCCATCAAAGGATTAATAGTTACTGGCTCTGGGTGGTGGCATTGCACGTGATTTTTAGTCTTGAAACTTTTAAAATAAATTTTTACAACGGTCGGATGTTACTCTTATAAACAGAACAGAGAATATTTCCATTTTGAAAAGACAAGTGAGTGCCTTGACTCAGCCCCAGACTGTGCACTGACCCTGTCTTTTGTTGTCTGATGGGGTTTCTCCACCTTCCTCTTTCCTGGCCGCACAGAATGCAAGGATGGGGGGGGAGGGCTTAATTTCTGCGTGCCTATGTATTGAGATAGAAAAGCAATTTGGTGGGAAAGTTCATGGACAAGATGTTGTTGCCTGGGAGTAGGGGAGGGAGAGAATCGTGGAAAAATAAGATGTCCATCTGCATAATGAATGGAGAGAAACTGGACTCCAAGGCCAGGCCCTGGGAAGTGGGGGTTTGCACATCAGAAAAGCAGGGGCAAGGGATTCATGATGATAAAAGTATCAGCCACCACCAGTAAGGTCAGTGCCTAACACTGCCCAGGGCCTTGCCACATGCTGTCCCCATATGGACGGGGGGGGGCATGTCTTCCTTGTCTTAGAGATGAGGTCCAATGAGGCATAAGGAGTGGCCAAGCAGCCCTGGGCAAGAGCCCACCCCATTTAATCTCTCGGGGCCTTGGGCATTTCATCTGCCAATAGGAAGAAAAACATCAGCCTTTCATGTATGTGAAAACGTTTTAAGGGATAAAATAGCACTTAAACATTTGATACGATACACTTTTTTACTGGTATAATGTACGTATGAACTTTATCATAAATAAATTTGCTCTGAATGGGTATCGATTTTTAAAAAATGACTTTTGAAAATAGCTAGGGGGTCTTTGAAATTGCTCCCTGGTCTCAACTGACTCTGTTTCCCCCTCTATAAGTAGGTATGTCTATGAATCAGGTCATAACCAGAAAGCTGCCTCATACAAACTGGATCTTTATTTTCTTCTCAGAGAGGGTCTCAAAACCTGTGATCTACTGGAGTTGTACCAACACAACCGTGACCTGTGAGGTAACAGAAGGGACTGACCCTCAGTTAACACTGTATCGAAATCGGAACAAAATCAAAGAAGGTCCGAAGGTCATCGTGTACCAGTGGACCACCAAACTAAATGCATTGTTCAACTGCACAGCAACTAACAAAGTCAGTAAGGACAGCAACGAGGTGAACATCAGGTGCCCAGGTACGTGGCAGGCACTAGCCAGACATCCCAAGTTCACTTCACAAACACAGCCTGCCAGGCCCATGGCAGAGGCCCTCTCCGGGGCCCCGGTGTCTGGGCTGGGAGGCAGCCTTGGTTCAGGATGAAAACACACCCCAGAAACCTTCAAGGGAAGACTTAGAGGAGAGAGGAGGGGGTGTTTGATGGTTATCCATCCGGGGAACACGATCAACCCTCAGGCAATTCAAAAGATCTTTTGGGAGAAAGAATTGCCAAACCAAAGACGTACAAGGAGCTGTAGAGGCTATTTCATGCAAACCCTTACTTCCCAGAGAGATGAACTTATTTACCCAAGGCCCCTCGGCTAGTCAGTAACCACAATGGTGACTCCCAGGGTAATGATGGAGAAAAGAGCAAAAAAGAATCCTTTCTGGAGGGGAGAGATGGCCAGCACCTCCTATCAGAGGCTGTAGGGAAAACAGGGAGATAGGGGGGTGGGGGAAGAAGAGCACTGGGACCAGGGAGGACCATGGACACAGTGAGGAAATGCTCCTCCTGCCTTAGAGCCCACAGCCTGGCATTGGCACCAGTACCAGGAAGTCCTGACCCTTGAAGGGTCTGAGCTGCTTCCTGGTGCCCCAGCCTGACATCACCCTCAGAAGTAAATTTTGAGGGGCAGTCTGCCATAGCACTCAGCTCTGGGGTCCAGAGGTCTGTCCGAATGTAGCGGGATGACCTTGACAGAGTTCCTGTCCTTCTGGGCTTCAGCCTCCTGGTCAACAAAGGAAATGAGCCCCCGATTCCCAAGAGTCTAGTCATCTGAGACTCTGCGATTACCTTCCCAGTGCCATCTGGTCAACCTCCAAGAGGGAAACTGAACACAAAAAATAGTTATTTGGTCAGAAGTCCTGAGTTTCTGCAGTGACAATGGCTGGTCGGTGACCCTAGGAAGCAGCCCTGGGCTGGTGTGAAGTCAGAAGTAAGGCTTTTTCATATATATTCTTCAAATTAGTTATTTGTTGCTTCGTAACAAATGATCTCACATTTTGTGACTTAAAGCAATAAGCAGTGATTCTCTCGCAGATTCTGTGAGCCATGAATCCGGGAGTGACTTAGTGGTCCTAACTCTGCGCCTTCATGAAGCTACAGTCGGGATACTGGCAGCATGTCATGTCAATCACCCCCAGGCTCTAT